GTAGCGGAGGGTGGGTCAGGGGCTGTGCTAAAACGGCGAACCTAGTTTAAAAACAGTGGTAGAAGTAGTAGTAGTAATGGAAGAACTGGTGACACTTAGCAAGCGAGAGAGAGAGAGAGAGAGAGAGCGAGAGAGAGAAGAGAGAGATAGAGAGAGAGAGAGAGAGAGAGAGAAGAGAGCAGAGAGAGAGGAGAGAGGAGAGAGACAAACAGACAGACAGACAGACAGACAGACAGACAGACAGACACAGACAGACAGACAGACAGACAGACAGAACGGAGTCATACGTCTATTCCATTTTCTATCTCTGATATTTTCGGTCGTGAGCAAGAAACTGTGTTCAGCCTGCCTCGCAGCTTCTCTTACGACACAGTGCTCTGTGCGTGAGTTTCTGACGGCGCGGTGACAGGACTCACCTGAAAAGAGGACGTAGATGGCGGTGACGCGCAGCACGCCCCAGTAGGCGCTGACGTTCTCCTCAGTATCCCTGCCGACCAGCTGCAGCTGGCTGCTGATGGCGTGCTGATGGCGCACCGCCACCCGGCTGATGACGCCGTTCAGCACCACGATCAGCACGCAGATGACGGTGGCGCTGCCGGTGGCGGCCAGTTTCAGCGGCGGCGGCATCACGTCCAGGAATCGGCAGTGGAGAGGCGAGTGACCGAACGTGTCCACCATCAGACCGGCGGCCAGGGTGGAGAAGGTGACCCACGACACGCCCATGACGAGCCAGGGCGCCAGCAGCAGCAGCCAGAGCCGGCGCGGGGTCAGCAGCGCGCTGTACCGCAGGCCGTGCACCACAGACACGTACCGCTCCACGGAGACCACCACCAGAGCCGCCGAGCTTCCGATGCCGATGCTGAGGTTGTGGGACTGGAAGACGGCGCACGCCACCGGCGTCAGCTTGACGCCGATGACGTTCACCGTGCCGAGAACGCCTCCGCAGATGAGGAACCAGGTCTCGCAGAGGGCCAGGTTAGTGATGGTCCGAAACATGGGCTGACGTCGCAGTGACGGTGACGTCATGATGGCGATGATGGGCACGCTGGAGCTGATGGCGCCGAAGAAGCCGACCAGCATGGTGCCCATCGGGAGTATTTTGGACGCCATGGCCGGGCGAGCGCCGGGCAGACGGTAAGCTGTGAAAACGGTATTAGAGGCGGCTGTCGAAACCTCGCCGGCACCCCAGAGGGCGGATGTCGTCTGTCGCCCCTAGATATATTTTTTCTTGTGAATATCTAAAGAAGATATTTCTGAATGAGTTGGGGTGAAATAATTTCCTTCAAACATTTTACCTGAAAGTTAGTAGTTTCCCGTCACAAAAGGGCACCGAACTACAAGTTCGAACTACAAGGTTTGAAGCAAAACGGCTGTAAAATTCGAGATAAGCGCAAATGAATGTGCCAAATATGACATGATTTGTCAAGATCATCCAGAGAGATCACAAAAATCATCCATAAGATGGTCGGCACTGGTCCAGTTTGTATTGTGTCCCATCCTCAACTGACCGGCTAGGGCCGGCACAGTTCAACCGCGTGCCGCGACCGGACGCCCGTGACTCGAAAACAAACTGAACTCTTTTGGATAATTTGGTTGTAAAAGCAGCTCAGCAGTAAAAATTAGGCAAACGTCGTTAATAAATAAACGATTAAAGAAAAAGAAAAGAAATCTGGCTAAGAAATGCTGTAGGTTAGACTAAAACGACATAAAAAAGGAAAAGCTATCTCTGAGAGCACACATTCCTCATTCCCATAGAAGGGTTTCATCTCATCTTTTCTAGCGAACACACAAAGTTCACCCAAATAGCGGACTCACCTGACTCACTCACGTGCCAATCTGCAGCGGAGTCCTCCGTGCGTCCCAGTCGTACGTCCGAGAGCCCCCCGAGTGTCTCTCGCCGCCACCGATGCCGGTCAAAATATATAGGGTCGGCGCACATCATCGTGTTCCCATGACAACGGAGACCCTCGGAGCGGCACTGTGACTCCGGGCACTGACCAGTGTCGCCGCCGACTGATGGGCAATTAGTGCTAACCGAAAGGTGTAACGTGAACCGGGTGGGAGCTCCGGTCACTCTGAGTCACGGTGTTAAGTATTGTGCTTTGGTCAGGCATTGTTTTCTGTACGAGTTAAAGCATGAGGGACCAGCGATGACGAGGTTTTTAACTAATACCTAGGTACACACTACATATGTAAATCTCTTAAACCTATAATTAATTTAAAATGCTCGAATGCCATTTCAAGTTGAGCAGCTTTATCGCATCTTCGTCAAATTATAAGGTCCGGCATGGTAGCTGTTTATCAATAAGATATGCTAAAAACAGGAATTATGCTCTTCATTTACCTAAACCATTTAAAGATCGAAAGGTACCATGTGGAAATACAATAACTGTTTTTTTTTTAAACTGACGTAGACAGAATACCATTTTATAGAAATAGCGTTGAACAACACACAACACAGAGTCATTTCACAGTAACTAAGACGCACTGTGCGCCTTCCACCGCTGTGCACAAATGTTTCTGTGATAGTTGACAGCAGCTGGAGTGACGTGCGACACAGGTCCCAACAGAGATTCTTTTAAGAGCTCTCTCCCACCTTCCACGATACATTAATCACGCTCAGTTGTAAGCCCTAGCAACATTTTCTTCTTCGTGCGTTTCTTCGTCGAGCACAGGCGCGGATCCAGGGGGGGGCGACGGGGGCGGCCGCCCCCCCCCCCCGGCAAAGTGGCGCCCTTTCAGCTGTCCGGTGCCCGGCGCCGTCAGGCGCCGGGCACCGGACAACGCCATATACATATAAGGCGCGCTTTAGCACTATCAATACCCACGACCCATGCAATGGCGCCCCACACAAAGCTCCGACGCAACAGTAGATGGTAGTGGATTGCATACGCAGTCGCTACCAAGGCAAGGCGCCCCTTTTATCGCATGGAGGCGCCCCTATAAACTTCATAGGCGCCCCTCTTTCACATAAAGGCGCCCCTCTTACTCACCCCATTCCCTTAGGCAATGGCGCCCCCCTTGGGCGATGGCGCCCCCTTGAGGGATGGCGCCCCCTATAAGTTTGTCCGCACCACTTTTAGCGTGGTTACGCCCCTGATCTGCAAAGCATAACAGGCGCCCCGCCCCATTGAAAATCACAGGCGACTGGGCGCCCCATTGAAAAAAAAAAAACATGGCGCCCCTCAGGCGCGGATCCAGCGGGGGGCGGCGGGGGCGGCCACCCCCCTCCATCCGAAAAGGCGCCAATAGCCCGCGGCAGAGAGGGGGCCCCGAGCAGAAGAGCGGCGACACAGCAAAGGTTGAGGAGAAAAAGGGCGCCTCCACTCAGAAGTTGGGCTCACCAAGCACGAGAGCGACGCCCAATTACCCGTTCCCAGCAGATGAGAGTCGCCCCAGCAGAAGAGCGGCGTCTTATTAAAAGAATAAAAAGATACCTTCTGTTCAAGAGGGGCGCCCCTGGCAGCGGAAGGGCACCCCAGCAGGAGAAAGCACCCCTGAAGAGGAGCGACGCCCCAGCAAACGGAGAGAGGCGCCCCCATTCCGAGAAGAAGAGAGGCGCCCTGACAGCAGATGGGCGCCCCAGCAAAAAAGGAGCCCCATAAGAAGAAAATGGATGCCACTAAGAGAAGAGGGGTGCCCCCGGCAGCGGAGGGGGCCCAGAAGAGAAGGGTTTCCAACAGGAGAGGGGCGCCCCCACCAGAAGAGGGGCGTCCCAGCAGAAGAGAGGCGCCACAGCAAAAGTTGACCAGAAATAGGGAGTCTACGGCAGAGTTTTGGCTCGCCAAACAGGATAGGGGCGCCCCATTGACAATATCCGGCAGAAGATAGTTACCCCGGCAGCAGATGGGCTTCCCAGCAGGCAGCAGTCGTCGGGTGCCCCCAGTAGAAGAGGGGCGCCTCATTACAAGAAGAAGAGGAGCATATTCTGCACAAGAGGGGCGCCCCTGACAGCGAAAGGGCAGCCCCAGCAGAGGGGCGGTGCCCCAGAAAAAGGAGAAGGGTGCCCCACTCCGAACAAAAGAGGGACACCCCAGTAAAAAAAAAAAACATAAGAAAAAAGGGGGTGCCGCTGGCAGAAGAGATAAGTCCCCGCAATGGAAGGGCGCCCCCAGAAGAGGTGTCTCTAGCAAAAGAGAAGTGTCCCCTGCAGAACAGGGGCACCCCAGCAAAAGTTGGACAGAAATGGGGCGCCTCCAGCAGAATTTGGGGTCGCCCAACAGGAGAGGGTCGCCCCATTCACAGTAGAAAAGGGAACTCCCCAGCAGCAAAGGGGCGCCCTAACAGAACAGGTGCACTCCAAGTAGAAGTGTGACGCATCAGGAAGAAGAGGGGCGCTTCTAGCAGAAGATGGCCGTCCCAGATAAGTGGGTCGCCTACAGCCAATAGGTCGTTCTTAGAAGAAATGATGCGACTCAAGCAAAGTGGGCCTCCCCATGAGGCATTGGGCGATCCAAGCAGAGGTTGGGCGCCCTCAGGAGAAGTGAGGCAAGCCAGCATAAGTGAGACGCTTCCAGAAAAAAAAAGAGAAGAAGGATGCACCAGCAAATGGAGGCCACCTTTTTGCTAATATTTTTTGCTAACGTAGCGGCGCCCATCTACGACTTTTAACCCGCGCCGTGCTGGTGGTCCGAGTTTTCCGTGTCGTGCTAGGGGGGGGGGGGGGGAGGTCACGTCCCCTCGTCTAACTCGGCTCCTAGGTCGCGTAGAACTAGAGACACGCGGTAAGCGGTTTTCTAGGTTAGGTCAAATAAGGTCAGGTCACCAAAGGTCATCAAAGGTAAAATGTTGCCTATTTCAACAATTTTCGAAACGCCGGCACATAGATCGGAAACCAATAGAGCTATAGTGCCGCGGTAAAGCGCATTCAATAGCCCTTTCAAAGGTGCTTCTGTGAACTGCCCTCAGAATTGACCTCTGGTCAACGGTCTAGCCTCCAGAGGGCAAAAACTTTAAAAATAGCAGTTTTACGAACAATGTTTTCCTGCAACAGCTTTTGACTCAAGAGAGGCTCGACATTACGTTTGCCAGCATCGCGTTTCTGTCGTCGAGTAATTTTGTAATTTTTTGGTCATGACAAAGGTAATTTTGATAATTTGACCTCAGGTCAAGGTCATGACCTCACCGGGAAATGTCATGTTGCATATCAGTCGATCTGTATCGTCGAGCTGAACACAACGGAGGTGTTTTTATCGTTCTAGCATATGTATCTATCAAAAGTTATTTTCAAAAAACTGTTCAGGACCTTTCATGACCTGGGATGACCTGTGGGACACAATGAATGGTCACAGGGGTGCAATTTTCTTATTCAGTATGTTGATTTTTACATGTATCCTAATGCTTGCGATTGTCTAGAATGGCGCTCCAAAAGCTTTTCAGTTGTCTCACATAAACTTAGGTAGTATACCTACCCGGTATAGGTACCTAATGGAGATTGGAGAGGTCGCAAAACTGACTTGACCTTAGCCCACAAATATCAAAATTCCGAGATATACATTTCATGAATATTGTTGCTTTCATCAATCGTTGACAGTTTCAAAGCGACCGTTCTGTCGGTATAGCAATGGTGAGCATTTTAACATTCCATGGGGTTAGGTCACTTGTCATGACCTGGTGACCTGCCGTTGCATGACCCGGGCCTGACACTTTCACAACATGTGCAAAAAAGGTGCATGATAATGTGTGCTGAAAACGGCGGCGCTGCGCACAGCTGTTTTTTCAGATATTTGCGAAAAACCTGAGGGGGAGCATGACAACGTCCCACACCACGGCGCGGGCGCGGGTTCGACGACTCTCGATTTTGACGACGGTTTGGCGCCCCTTCGTATGAAGCGCCCCCAGATTGCCAGGTCGCCCCTATTTTGACTTGCCGCCCCCCCTCCCGAAAAATCCTGGATCCGCCCCTGGTCGAGCAACCTCTGCTTTTACGTGAACATCCATTAGGAACAGAGCAACGCTCAACCGTCGCTAACTTACAGTTAATTTCTCTTCGTTCGGGGTGATCTCCCTCTAACTACCGTGAAAACGACAATGGCAGTCTTGTCGGGTGTCATTAGACCTTTCTGGTCTACTTGTGAGCCATCCGCACGTGAGTGAATCTTCTTGATGCT